TAAGATAAACGAATAAGAAATGAGGATTAAAATGTGTACATTTGAGGCCAAATCAATTTGCAAGCCATATTGGCTGGCTATACCCTTTTATTGGTTTTTTTATTTATTTTAAATTTATATTTTTTATTGCAAAATATGTTGGCCCCAATATGCATGGATTGAATTGACATGCTACGATTAAAGTAATATGAGTTTAAATAAAATTTTGAGACGACAACAAAAACATATAAACGCAAGGCAAAGGCTAGCGTACGCCCGGGCGTACCTTAGTCTACTATACGCCCGTTGAGTTTTACTGTTTAGATCATGAATTAACCGGAGTTTTTGGCATGATACTATACCCTAACCTCTAATGGATAAACCCCAGTCCCTAATTTTCTAACCCAACTCATGAGATTCGTTTAATCTTAAAAAGTAAATCAACAATAATTTTGACAAATCAAGACCGTTGATTTTCATTTCAAGATTAAATGAATATTATGCTTTGGATTAATGAATTAGGGACTGGGGTTTATCCATTAGAGGTTAGGGTATAGTATCATGCCAAAAACTCCGGTTAATTCATTGTCTAAATAACAAAACTCAACGGTCGTACGGTAGACTAAGGTACGCCCGGGCGTACGCTAGCCTGAACCATAAACGCAATTATATTTGCAACTGCATTGATGTGTTTATCATGTTAACTCACAATGCAGGGGCCATTTTGAACAGTAATATAAGTAGAGAGGCTAGATTTGTAAAGGTGAGATACTGCAGGGACTTGATTGATACGAATCATAGTACACGCAGTTGTTCACTTAAAGGGCATAAGTAGAGGGATTCAAACTGCTATTCACCGATAAACTTACGGGGATTGCTATTCGTCGCCCTAAAAATCCTTATTCGTCGCCCTAATTAAGTTAATTTTACTTTAATGTCCTTAGTGCATTTATTTACAGGGAAAAAACTACAGCGGTGGCCGGGCTACCAAAGATCATGTCCATTTCAGCTGGGGACATGGAAGCAAGCTACATTGGGATTTATTAATATGGTTGCTTTTCATTGGGGACACAAAACTGTGGCATTTATTTGGACAAGCTATTATTGGAGACGAGGAAGAAGTTGACTACGTGCAAGGCGACGGTGGACGGGGAGATGGGGTTGAAAGCAACGGCAGAACGAAAGCCGGTTAGACTCTCCTCTTTCCTCTACCTGATTCCTGAATGATGGACGACGATGACTAGGACAAAAATGGCACCAAAATTTCGGCGTCAATTCTCCGACAACCGCCGCTGGAGCTGAGCGGGCGGCTGGGTCGCGTTTTGCAAGTAGGAGTTCAATTATACTTAAATCGAGTAATCGACTCCTTGTTCCCTTGCCCTTTTTTCGTTTGAATTAGCTTCGAACTCCGGCTACTCCGAGGTGGGAGAGAGACGAAAGTAAGGATAATATAAATTTTATTAAGGGGTAAATATGTCGATTTAGTGCGTTTTAGGGCGATAAAATTTGAATTTTAGGGCGACGAATAGCGATTCAGTAAACTTATTTGAGCGATCTCCGCCTGTTGAGATCCGATTATCCGAATTGATTTGGAAAAAACCCGATCGTCACCACTCCCGGGTCCCATCTGAAACGGATTTCTGGATATCCACCCGTTACGGCGTCGGTGCACCCACCTGGCCCGCATCCATGATCCACCAACCCGTCATCCACTTCGCCGAAACTCCCAACGATCCAGAAATTTCGCCGATCATCCTTACCACTTTCCCTCTCTCTCGACAAACCCTGATCCCAATTTCCCAATTCCATCTTCCACGATTCCGCAATCCGATGGCAGAAACTAACAAGCCAGCTGAATTGCCGGCCGAATGCTGGGAATCGATTATGAATTCCCTCGATCAGAATCGAAGCTTCGAGTCCCTCTCCCTCGTCTCCTCCCAATTCCTCTCCATCACCAATCACCTCCGCCGTTCCCTCACCATCACCTCCCGTACGGCCCCGTCGCTGTCCCTCCTTCTCCGGCGATTCCCGAATGTCACAGAGATCAAAGTCCGCGACTTTCACGGCGACCTCAACTCGCTCCTCTGCCGAATCTCGAAATCTCCGCTCGACCTCGAATCTCTTGACATCTCAGGTCACTGCTACTTCCCTTCCGAGGGGCTCGCCGCGTTGGGGAGTAGAATGACGAATCTCAAGGAGCTGAATTGCTCCAAGATCTCCGGGTTGCAGAACGCCGATCTGGTTGTGATTGGGAAATCGTTTCCTTTCCTGCAGGATCTCGACATCAGCTTCCCTCAGTACAGCTCGCGCTTCAATCCTAATGGGTCGTTGGATTTGCATACGTTTATGACGTTCGTGACCGACGAAGGGATCGCTGATTTGTCATCCAAGCTGATCGACTTGCGGCGGATCGACATTTCCGGTAACCAGTTCATTACTGATAAATCGGTTTTGTCTTTGTCGTTGAATTGCTCCTTGTTGAGCGATATCGTGCTTCTTGATTGCGATTTCATAACCCAGGCTGGAATTGGGTTGGCTCTACGAAGTGCCGTGAACTTGAACTCTGTGGCGTTGGATGGAATTGGTATCCCTTCGCTGGATTCGTCCATGAAGGAGTCGTTTGCCTATGCGAAGAACTTGGGCGCGCTTCATCTGTCCAACTCGTTTATATCAGATGAATTGCTAAGTTTGGTTGCAGAAGCAAATCTTTCTCTGGAGAAGTTGTCAATCTCCCACTGCTATAATTTCAGTTCTGTTGGGGTTCAGTACTTGTTGCTGAGATATCAATTCTTAGCGTACTTGGACCTCGAAGGAGCAAATTTTCTCACCGATGAGTCCATGATTGAGTTCTGCAACTACCTTCCCAACTTGACATTCATAAACCTTGGCCTCTGTTCTAAGCTCACAGGGCTTACATTCTTTACCCTGATGAATGCCTGCCCATTGCTCGAAGATGTTAAGATGGAGAGCACGAATATCGGGGTGGAAGAGTGGCAGGAACTCGCCTTGAAGAAATCCAAAATCAAGACCCTGGATTTGGCTGGCAATAATAGCTTGAGTGATGAGTGTCTGAAAAGGGTTGCTTTAGGCTGTCCCAATTTGGAGATGCTTAACATCAGCTACTGCCCCAATATCACAGAAGATGCAGTTACTCAAGTTTTAAGCAAGTGCACTCGACTAAGGCACCTGGAGATTAGTCGATGTTTTGGAATTAAAAGCCTTGTCATTGACTTTGATCTTCCTGAGTTGGAGGTTCTGAAAGCTCAAGGATCTGTTCTGGATAATGAAGCATTAGGAATGATTGCAGAGAGCTGTCAGGGGCTGTTGCAATTAGACTTGGAATCTTGCTTAAGTGTGACAAAACAGGGCGTGGGTCGAGTGGTGGAGCATTGCAAGAGGTTGAGGGAGATAAACCTGAGGAGTTGTGAGAGCTTGGGGAATGGTATTATTGCATTGATGGTGGTCACAAGGCCTTCCCTTAGGAAAGTTATTCCTCCTTGTGGGAGTATGTTTAGTGATCAGCAGAGAAACCTTTTCCTTAGGCATGGATGTTCGGTTTCCGAAAGCTAGTCTCAGATCACCATTTTGTAGAAAGCTATCTATTTATTGATTGAGAAATTCTTGTGAATATGAATAATGAATTTCCTCTCTAATATACTGTTATCTTTGGCGTGTTTTCTTATTGTATGAGATTCAAAGTTAGTCAGGCGATCGGGGTCTTTCTCTGGCTCTGCTTTTTGTTGCATTAGTGTGCGTTCGTTATTTGTGGGTACTGCAGCTGCATAAGGTAGCCAAGTTTGGTTCCTTTCCTTGCTCCCAGGTCGGAACCTGGGGATTTCTGCTGACTCAGGATGCTAGACAACCCTGTTTCTGTAACTTGTTATGTTCGAGAGCTCAGTTTAGTTATAAGGAAAAACGGCTCTGATCTGCTGGGTAGTCTTCGTTTGCTTTCATTGCTTTGAATACACATCCGTTTTGAAGGAAATAGTAATCTTAGAGGCCCAAATGTTCTGGCTTTTCTTTCATTTGTTTCGATTTTAGTAAAGAAAGACATGAGTTGGCTAAAAACTTCAAAATGTCACATTACAAAAGGTCAGAAAATCATCATGAAGTAACAAAATACCAATTCTGTCCAATTTCATCCATTTTTTCTTCTTGTCGTCCAAACTGGCCAATCAATTTGCCGGTTATTAATATAAACTATGGTTCTAAAAATCGTACCTTGATGCTTGCCTAAACTCAGTTAGGCTTTAGGCTATAACTACAAGGTAAACTTCTTGCCTTGGACATAAGCGAAAATATAAGGTATCCCAAGTGCGTCGTCGATATATGGTAATGCCTATCCAACACTTATTCGTGCCTTAAAATGACACCAAAATGTCTCTCTTCACTATACTATCCGTCGTTGTTTGCTAAAATCGAAATACGAAATAAATATATACATCAAATCAAAGTTGAATGAGATACCAATTTTTCATCCAAACATTAAAGAGCTTTGACTCATTTCTTTTACACTTTCCGAATATTGATCATTACAATGTAACTAGTGTTAATCAAATTTTTTCATTTTTAAAAGCCGAATATTAGTACTAGCAAGTTTTTTTTTATGAGAGAAGAGAACACCTCTCCATAAAATTTCTAATGCTGCACCAATCGAACGTATGGCCAATCTGGTTTAACCGCGAGGACTAAAAATGGATAGCAGCACAACACATGAAAGCATGCATGCGCGTAGAAGCAGCCACCACCACCGGAACCAAATGCGCATAATCCAGGAAGCAGAGCAAGTAGCAGATAACTAGCTAGAGGTAGGTAGTGTGGTTACCTAAAGCATATGAGGACGATGCCGAATAACATTTGTTTATTCTCTCCCATGGCCATTAATATGACTTCATAATTTCTGTCTGCCAAAAGAGTCCAGCCTTAACTTGGTTTGAAGTTTCACATAAACTTGTGCTTTGCAAAACTAGTTACAATCAACGAACCTCGTCGCACCCAAAATGCACGGCTAGCTAGCTTCTCTATCGGCCTAAAAAATGATAGGCTGAAATAGGCGGCTGCTGCTGCGGTAGCTTCTCGATCCTGGGAGAAGCAGACGGCGCCGTCTTGGTGGGAGCCCAGAGGTCCGCCCCATTGGTGCGATCAATAGCAGCCGTGGCGGCCACCGGAACAAGACAGAGCCCTCTGCCTCGCAGACCCGGACCGGCGGCGGCGGAGGCGGCGGAGAGGAGATAGGGAGCGCTTAGCACCTTAAGCTGGTCGTGAAGGAAGGAGATGTAGTCCATGGCTTCCTGGAGAACCGACGCCGTGTCGGTCTTGCCGTAGGGAGAGACCAACTGCTGCAGAGCCACGATCTTCTCTCCCAGCTGCTTGTCTTTCCTGTCCCTGCTCAGGGCGGCGTCGGGCTTCAGCCGCTTGGCCGCTGAGGACGACGTCGGAGGAGGAGTGAGGAAGGAGCGCGGGCTCGGACGCTTGTCTTGCAGCATAGTTGTGGAGCGGGTTCAAGTACTATAACTATAGACCGTAGTAAGAGCTAATTAGATTAGGTGTAGGCGGCTCGGGAATTCGTCACAAGCTAGGGAAATGAAATGAGAAATGATTGATGGGATATGGCGAAGTTTAAAAAGTGAAAGGAAGACGAGACGAGAAATTGACAAATTGTCCGCTTCCTAGCTAGGTAGCTATGGATCAGCCACGGCCCCACGGGAAGACAAAACCAAGCAAAGGCAAAGTGGAGGAGCTGAGAAGGAAGTCATTTCGGTAGGGACACAGTGAGGACAATTAGGCTATGGGAGGTGGAGGTGGGTTCGCTTAATACGATGGTCATGGACGTAGGTGGAGACTAGAGTAATGAATAATTTCTTGACAATTGTTACATTTTACTTATAACTATTGGAATTGAGTAGGGATGGCAATGGGTCGGGTTGGGTCGGGTTTTGCCAAACCCAAACCCAAACTCATGGGTTTATCTTTGAAAAAAATCCGGGGTAAAACCCACTGGGTTTGAAAAATTCAAACCCAACCCAACCCGTTGGGTATCTGCGGGTTCATGGGTACCCACGGGGTTTGTCGTAAAAAATTTACAATTACAAGTTCTTATCAAAATTAAAGTCAAATATCAATCTCTCAATACAAATTATCCATATATAAAACACCAAATTAGAAAATTCAAGCAAATCACAAATTAACTATACAAATTGTTCAACACCAATCTAGAAAACTTAAGAAAATTGAAGCAAATCACAAATTACCCATAAATAACATGTTTAATTGAAAACTTCTTCCTTTCAATTAAGTTTCTTTACTCTCCACTCCATAACATCAACTTAATTCTACACAATTAAAAAGAAAAAATTAGACATGTCTCCACAAATATAAATAAGATTAGTTGTTTAGAATATTAAATATACCGAAAAAATTAATTATATGAGTGGGCGGGTACCCACGGGCCGGGTTTACCTAAACCCAAACCCAACCCAACCCGGTGAATAGTGAACGGGTTTAAACCCAACCCCGGCCCAAAACCCGTCAACACAATTTTACCCGCGTTGACCGGGTTGGATCGGGTGGGTACCCAGGGGTTCGGGTTTTGTTGCCATCCCTAGAATTGAGTAATGGAAAAGGTAAATAGGATCAAAGCAATAAAATTGATATTATTATTATTATTACTCTTCAATTGTTACAAAAAAACAGTAAATATTTTAAGTTCCGGTATACTATTCACAAGGTATTTTTCTCCCATGTACCCAATTTCGCCATAAACTCTTTGTTATTACTCTAAGATTTATAAAAATAATAAATTTTGCATAGCACTTTGATAAAATGTGATACTTTCTAATTTTATTATTACTCTTTCTTCTTAAATTTAACTTTATGGATTTTTAGTTGAATATATATATATGGTGATGACTGGTGTACGCCAGGCGTATAGTATACGTCAGGTGTTCTAGCCGTTAGATGTAATTAGATGAGCTCCTACCGATCTCAACGGTCAATTTTTGTTTTTCATTAAATCATACTTTGGGCTGGGGTTTAGAAAATCGGTGCCTGGGGTTTATCCATTAGAGATTAGGGTATAGTATCATACCCCAAACTCGATTTAATTCATGGTCTAGATAGAGATATCTCACTAGTAGTACCTGACGTATAGTATACGCCTGACGTACACCAGTCTGACCCATATATATATATATATATATATATATATCCTCTGTTCTTGGCAACTGATTTTACCAAAGATTACGAAATCATACAAATCTTGTACTGGAAAATTCAATGATAAGCTATTCTGTAATATAACTGTGGCTTAATCGTAGTTAAACCATTTCATGCCTTTAAAGTCACAAACCTTTTGCTATCCTGTACTTGACATTCCTAGTCAGAACTGGTAATAGGGTATGGTCAGGGGCGGACTCAAGATGTTTTGGGGTGTCCCGGGACACTCCTAAAATTTGGAAAAACGATTATCCAACACTCGGTAGTAATTTACGTATGAAAAAAATTTATAATTGACAGTGAGGGACACCTCTGAAATTTGAAAAAATGATTGTCCTACTGTCATTTTTTAAATGTGTGTATGGAAATATAAGTAGTAGGTTAGGTAATTCAAATATAGAACACTATTATTATTGATAAACATAATTTCCATTAAGCTACAACTCATTTGTTGTTCGATTTTGAACACTGTGTAATAGTAAAATGTCATTCCCTATCTCTAATTATTTTCAAAACCTAACAATTAATAAACTAATTTCAAGCTACCCTTAATCTGTATTGATTTTATTGTTGTACGACAAGTGTTGAAAGAGTTTTTCAACTTTGGATTACATAAAAAATAAGTTTACAAATCGAATAGGCGATCAGTTCGTGAATGATTGTTTAGTAGGATATATAGAGATAATTTCTTTTGACACTGTAGACACCAAGTGTATTCTACAATTATTTCTGAATATGAAAACACATTATGAACTTTTTTTAACATATATGAGTATGGTAATTTTCTTATTTACGATTTTTTTATTAATTAATTTTTTAAAAGAGGACACCCCTATGTAAAATTCATGGGTCCAATATGATTTCTAAACCATTGGATTTTACTCGTGGAGAGTGATACATATGTAAAGCTAGCTAGTTTATAATCACGCTAGCAAAATCTCAGGCTCCGGGGAAGGCCCGGTGGCCGGTACGGTGGTCCGTCTCTCTTAGGTTGGTAATGCAACGCCAACGACTAGTGGAAAGAAATGAAAAAGAATGGACTTTTGATGAAAATTAAGGACCCACATAGAGATTCGATCTGAAATGTCTATTCTAAATTCTAATTGACAAACTAAAAACCGGAAGCGCGTACTCTCCCGCCATTTCTGGCTCACCTTCTCCGACGATTGCGTTAATGGAAATATGGACGTGTCGCTTGCTGACTTTCTTCTGTCCTTCTCCTTCTCTGGAAGGTTCAGATATTCAATCCCACAAAACAATCCCTTACGTTCCCAGCATGCTTGCTAGTAAACTTGTTTATGAAAGAGTCCCTCACACGCTGCTCATTATAATATTTGTGAGCAGGCGTTTGAGATGTCGTGTTCTAGAAATAAAATTTGTTTATTTTTTTAAATATAATAAAATGAAATTATATTGAACTATTTCATTTAAAATTGTCCTGTAAATATAGATTTTAGAGTATGCTTATGTTCACTTGCTAGTAAGTCACCGAAACTTAGAGAATATGGTCGACCTATTCTGTTAAGTGGTCGATCACTTTCTAAGAAAATGGTCTACCACATTCACCAAATCGTCTACCTCTGCAACTAGGTGGTCGACCACTTTTCAAGAAAGTGGTTGACCACTTTTCAAGAAAATGGTCTACCTCTTCAATCAAGTGGTTTACCGCTTGAGGCAACCGGTTTATAGCTACTGACAATGGGTCGACCTGATGACACACCTTCAACTTACCCTTGCTTGTTGGAGGCGATAGACTACTTTCGCCAAATTACATCGCCGCTTAAGTCTATAAATGGAAGCACCTCAGTCTCAGAGCTGATTGATCATGGCACTCGATCTTGGCGCACTGATCTCCTGCAATCCTATGGACAAAAATTACATCCTCAAAACCCCAATCCCAAGACAACCCGCCCAAGGTGAAAGAGTTTGTGGAGTCTTGAGAGGAATGGAAGCTACACAGTGAGATCTGCCTATGAGGAATGGAGAATCAAACAGAATGAGCAGGAGGAAGAGGTTTATATCCCTGTGAACTGGTCAAGATTCTGGAAAATTCATATCCCTCCAAAAGTGAAGGTATTCGGATGGGGATGGGTAAACAATTTCCTCCCAACGGGGAAGAATGTGGTGGACCGAATTCAAAAAGGTTGTGACGAGTGTCCGTTCTGTGGATTAATTGAAACACATGAGCATATTTTCAGGAATTGTGCTTGGGTGACAAGCATTTGGCAACTTATAAGACTAAGCAATCTGTTCTCAAATGGTGAAGAACTTACCTGTGTATCATGGAACAGCCCTAGGAATCATAACCCGACGAGAAGTTTGGTGAGTTTCTTGTGGCCCTATGGTTTATCTGGGAAGAACGGAATAGTCGGCAGTGGAACAAGAAGAAAAAAGAGGAATTCGAGATAAAGGGATCCTTCGGTGACGGCGCCCTACAAGATCAATTTCGATGCAGCTGTTTTGAAGGATCAAGGAACTGGTTGGGGTATGGTGATTCGCGACATGCAAGGAGGGTTCTGTGGGGCGGCGGTCAAAAGAACGAGAGTTCAATGGGCACCAGCAATGGCAGAGACTTTGGAGATTGGATATAGTTTGGAGATGATGGAAAGATGGGGCATAAGGGAATGTGTACTGGATCCAGATTGCTTGTTCACAATCTCTCAGTCAAAGTAGAAGGAAATAGAGAAGGCAGAGTTTGGAGATCGTTTCAAAGAGCTCTTGGAGGTGGCAAACAGAAATGAAAGACCGATTGGGCCTATGCAGAGAAAAATAAGGCGGCCCACCAGATGACCCATATTATGTGTGGATGGATAGAAGAAGAAGAAGTATGGGCATCTAAGCCTCTAATTTTCTTTGTACCTCAATTGAGGATAGACATGTCAATTACCCACATTACTACTTAATAAAGTTCCAGATGGTTATATAAAAAAAATATTAATTGAAGAAGCAATCTCAACCATTATATTAGCCTTTAAATCATTTATATAGCAGCTAAATAATTTTTCCTACGAAAAGTTATAAATGATAGGGTACAAAATCCTATAATGCAAATCCAATACAAAATCCAATATCCCATCATCCATCTCATTATCATTTAAGAGCCCAGAATTATTTTCAACAAAAAAATGAGAGGGCAAAAAGGTAATTCTGCTCCATGCCTTTTTTTTGGGCTGACACTTTGACATGGATTTAGAGGAGAGAGATATACTTTCCCTTTTTTGGGTAGAAAATGGGGCTCTAAAAGGGCACCCCTGGCACGTTATATTAATTG